TGTTGCATAGGACGTACACTCCACCACCTCCACTTTCTCTCCATCTTTCTCTTATATACCGCCACATAAATCTTTTTCTGCAGGGATCTCGGCGTGCGTTGTCTGGCCCCGACGTGCCTCTCCGAATGATCGATGGCCCGTTCCTCTTTTCGGGGCTTGGGTGGTCCCACAGGAGAACTGGGCCTACTGCATGGATGATGACATGCCAATGTTCCGCCGTCTGGTGCCATTGGCTTTGTCTGGGATTGCAGGCGTATAGCGACCCAAGTCCCTGCACACCCAAGACCGATCAGCACCTCGACAAGCCCACGACACGAAAAATCATCGTGATCATCTTATCTTGATTAGATGAAAATTATCTGATGAGATTATCAAAAATGCCCCGAGTCCAGTCTGAGGTCCCCCTTGTGGCATCATCGAAAACCCTCTCACGTCCCTTTTGGTAACGACGTCCGAATCCACTTGCGGATTCGTATGCTTTGACTTGCACACAACTACTGCTTTCCGACATCGCTGTTTTCCCCCTGGTGGATTGGTCTTGTCCTTCATCATTTGATTCCCCCTCCTTCATCCCTGGGGATAGCAGAGAGGCTTTGCCCCACCAGTGGGTGTTCTTGGTACGTTGGCCTGAGGACCGCCCTTCCCTAACACTGCCTATCGAGCAGCAGGGGCGACAGAATTTTTCCTGCGTGCTGATCGTGTCGTTGCATTGTGGGTGACGACGTGACTACGCTTCAGCTGGGTTGTATATGGGTATAATGGATCGACCTTACTCCCCGATGGAGGGGGCATCTCATCTACTTGGGGAGGTCCCTCTGTTCTCGTTGGGTTTTTATTTTCGTTATTCCTGTGTTTGTCCCTGTTGTCTCTCCTGTTGTCTGATTGTCGTTGTCGATTCTTTCGCCGTGCTGGTCCGCACCCTCCTCCTCCTCCTCCTCTAGAGAAAGTGATGCCCTCGGACCAAAAGCCACCGTCGGCCCAAGCCATATCCCCTTCCTCCCACGACCGCACATCACCCGCGAGCAGTGACACCACCATCGTTGACGAGGAGAAGAATGAGACGGCCGAAGAAACCGTCCGGTCCCGAACGGACTCGGAATCGGAGGAGGAGAACCAGAAAGCCCTGAACGCCGCCTGGGGAAAACATGGGAGAACATGGATGTGGATTGGGTATGTCCCTACGTCTTCTCTCGCCCATCTGCCTGTCTTCTTGCCCTGCCTGTAGGGGGGCACCTCACCTCAAACCCAAAACGTGCCCTTTTTAACCTGGCTAACAGATGGCGGAACCAAACAGGATCGCACTCATGTGGACCATCTTGTAAGGTGACCCTAGGATCCATTAGAGACTTACCGTGGTGCACAGCACATTTTACTGAGTTTTGGGGGCTCGTGACAGTGAACTCGACTACACGACCATCTACAACTACCAGAACTACGCGGCGTCGGACTTTGGCGAGATCGCGCTCCTCGGGGCGCTGATGACGGTGGGCACCATCGTGGCGGCGGTGCTCAAGCCGCCGCTGGCAAAGATCTCGGACGTGGTCGGGCGGGCCGAGACGTACGGGGCCGTCATCGCGTGCTACGTCGTGTCGTACATCCTGTGCGCGTCGGCGCGCTCCTTCGGCCAGTACATCGGGGGTTACATTGTCTACAGCGTCGGGCAGACGGGGATGCAGATCCTCAACCAGATCATCGTGGCGGACATCACGACGTCGCGGTGGCGCGGGCTCGCCAACGCCCTGGTCAGCCTGCCCTTTATGATCGTGCCGTGGTGCTCGGCCTTCATCGTCGACGGAGCCCTCGCCACCATCGGCTGGCGCTGGGGCATCGGCATGTTCGCCATCATCATGCCCGTGTGCTCGCTCAGCGTCATCGTGCCGCTGCTCGGGTTCCAGCGCCGGTTGGAGCGGGTGCGCGGCGGCGGCGCCGCAAAAGTGCGCACAAAGACCACCGTCCGCGGGTTCGCCGCGCAGATCGACCTGGGCGGGATGCTCCTCCTCTGCGGCGGGTGCGCCATGATCTTGCTCCCCGTGGCGCTGGCGGGGAACTCCAACGGCAGCTGGCGCGCCCCGTGGGTGCCGACGCTGATCGTCCTGGGTGTGCTGTGCCTGGTCGGGCTGGGGGTGTACGAGTCGCGGTTCGCCACGAAGCCGGCGATGCCGCCGCGGCTGTTCAAGAACATCTCGGTGACGCTGGCGTTTGCGATCGGATTTCTCGACGCGTTCGCCTACAGCGTCACGCACACGTACCTGTACGCGTGGGCGACGGTGGTGCACGGGCTGGACCCGCGCGACGCGACCTTCCTCACCTACACGGCCGGGTGCGTCCAGGTGCTGACGGGCCTGGGCACGGGCTTCCTCATGTACCGGTCGCGGCGGTACAAGTGGCTGCTCCTCATCGGCGTCGTGGTCCGGCTGATCGGGTACGGGTTCATGATGCGGCTGCGCGGCGCCGACAACTCGCTCGCCGAGATCATCGCCATGCAGGTCGTCCAGGGCGCCGGGAGCGGCGCCGTCGGGACCGTGGTGATCGTCGTCGCGCAGGTCGTCGTGCCCCGCGCGGACCTCGCCCACTCGACCGCCCTCGAGCTCCTGTGCATCTACCTGGGCAACAGCACGGGCTCCGCCATCGCGGGGACCATCTACACGAGCCTGTTCAAGGGCCGGCTGCGCTTCTGGCTGGGTCCCGACACCGACCCCGCCGCCATCAACAGCGTCTACGACTCCATCACGGCCGTGGTCCTGCCCGAGACGGGCACCGCCCAGCGCAACGCCGTCAACCACGCCTACTCGGACATTCTGCGCTTCATGACCATCGCCGCCCTGGTCGCGTCCGCCGTCCCCATGGTCATGGTCTGGTTCCTGCCCAATCTCCAGCTGAGCGACAAGCACAACCTGGCGGGGAGCCCGGGTGGTGTCGACTCGGGGGGGCCGGACCGCAGGCGAGACACGAGTGATGAGACGAGGCTGCAGAAGTGGCGGCGGAGGATACGGTGGTGATTTTTCCAGGAAAAAGAGACAATAAACTGGATTGATCTGGACTGAACTCGACGGCTTTCTTTCTACCTCTGAACGAGAACGGAGGTAGATGACGACGCAGGACACCAGATGTCTTTATCGCACCCCCACGCTGTCTCGAACCCTGGCCTGGATATACCTAACCCGTCTATCTACCTATATACCTTTGGTTCCAGCCATCCAGCGGAACCCATCTCACATCTCACATCTCACATGCATAGCATAGCATAGCATAGCATAGCATAGTATATATCTCTCTCCAGACACGAGGTAGATATGAGGTATATACGAGGGTATATATTCCGCGCGGGAGTTTGGGAGGGAAATATGGCCACAACCCCAAAAAGTCGCGAGTCGCCAAGTCGAAAAATAGAGACGAGGGAAGGATTTCTGGATTTATCACAACACAGTACATATTACATGTACATACCGATGAGGGATGGTACGAGGTGTATATATGGCTTTAAGGAATGAATGCAAAGAGAGCATCTACGGGAGCAGCAGGGTATACAATTGTCAGTGGTGTGTCCATTAACACACTGTTTCATAACTGTAGGTATTGTACATACATTCCTAGTTTGGAAGAGGGAAAGGGACCTGTAGAAATCTAATCAGATTTCAGTGAGAGGGACTTCTGCCCGCTAATCTAGCTCGTTGGCTCGTTGACTCGTTAGCTACAGTAAAATGTTAGACACATACTCGTACACACCGAGCACACACCTCGCGTGTCTTCTGTGTCTGTGTCTAGCGTGTCTGCCAAACATGGCTCGTTCTTGCGCGCCCGCGTGGAAACCCCCCCGGATTGATTCCCTCTCTGGGTCTGGTCTAGTCTAGTCTGAGGGGAGAAACTCGCTAAATCTCGAGAGAGCAAACGCGAATATCGGGAGTCATGGCGTGCGTGTGTGCGTGTGTGCGTCCGTAGACTATTACGTGGTACTACCCCGTACATACTGTTAGAGCACGGCATCGTAGTGGTAGTGGTAGTGGTAGTAGTGTATGTGGTGGATAGGCGGAGATAGATTCCTGAAAGAAGGTGGTGGTGGTGGTGGTGGTGATGATGACGATGACGATGATGGATGACGGACGATGATAGGCGCGCAACATGGGCATAAAATTAATATGTCCTAGAGGATGTACGGAGTATTACCCCATATTATCCTCGATGCCCAAGCCCGTCTTGATTGTCTAGCGGACACGCAGATAATACCTCGTACGAGTGAGTACAAGTATTGATTGATATGGTCATCATCATTCCAAGCCTTCGTAATAAAGAGAGATGGAGAGAGCAGGACACGAATCTAGAGAGCGTGGTAGGTGAGGTAAGGTGAGGTGATTCCTACGAGGACCGAAGTATTTTAATCAAATACTTGTAATTAACATTTTGCGCCCCCAAGCCCTGATCCCTCATCATCCCTCATCCATCGCCCGTCGCCTATCGTCCATCATTCCTCATGGCTGGAAGCTGGGGCCAGACAAGGAAGCGTGCCTGTCTCGCCTAAACCCACGCAAACCACGCAAACTCGTATCCGGCGCTGACTAGCGCTGATCTGACGCCCTGCTTCTGTGCCCGTGTCCGCGCATGCGTGATACCTAGTGGTACCTTGTAATAATGGTGGACGCAGGGTTTCAATCAAACATTAACTCGGTCGGTACCCCAAGGCGGGAAAGGGGGGCGCATTTCCCTCCTTTTGTGTTTGCCCTGCATTCTTGAATAATAGTGCCTGTGCCAGACCGAAAATGAACCCCCCCTACCTACCTTAGGTACCAAGTACTTCGCGCTTGTCAGGTGATAATAACCCCTTACCCTGGTTTTGGGAGGGTGATAACGACAAAGTAACATCGCGGGAAAGAAATATAAAATCCATTCGACGAGGAGCCAACCTTACCTCTGAAGATCGATCGAAAAAGCATACCCCTGGTGTCGGAGGAGGAATTCCGCTCGTCTCAGCTCAACTCACTTTCATCTCAACCCCAGACGACACGATGGACGTCGTTGCGCTCGCCAAAGTCTGCGGTTTGGCCTCGTCAGGCATATTTGCAGGTCTGTCTTCTTTACCCACTCTCCTTTCTTTCCCACGGCTCTCTCCCTGCCCATATCTGTTTTGGGATGAATGATTGATCGCTGACTGACCGACGGTCGTCCATTTCAGGATACACCTGGGCCCTGTCCCATGCTGCCGTGCCGGCGATTCTGTTTGCCCCAGACGCCCTGGCGGCGCGAGAATGGCGCTACCAGTATCTCATGGGGTTCCATGTCGGTTAACCTGATCCTTTCGCGATCCGAGCGAGAAACTGGTCATGGTTTCCCTTTCTGACGCGCTGTGGTGGATGGCAGATCTCTAGACCCATGTGCGTCATCAACGGCTTGTCCTTTGGGTTCCTGGCATATCACGGTAAGGGGGTTTCATTTCATCTGGAGGTGGAGGCGGTCCTTTGTCGTGGATTTGCTGATCCGAAGGCTCCTCTCTTACAGCACCCGGGGGATCTCTTCTTCGATATCTCTACATCCTCGCCGCATCGGCCAGTGCCTCCGGGGTGCCCTACGCCCTGACCTTTCTGCGTCGGACCAACGGCGCCCTGTCGCGAAAAGCAGATCGTCTGGCCGGACCCGGTGGTGGGGAGATGGCACTGACATACGCCTTCAACGAGAAACGCAGCATCGACCGAGACGGGAAGATGAGCACCGCCGAGGCCATCAAGCGGTGGCAGTGGCACAATTATGTGAGGACTTGGGTGTTGGTGCTGGGGACGGTGGCGGGTGCGTTGGCCGTAGCGATGGATTGATGTTATGATGGTGATAGAGGGAGTGACACTGTGGTTGGTTTCAGGATGTTTGGGAGCGAGCATCCGGTCAGGTTGACGGGTGTGCAAGTAGATGGTAATTGGCACACAAGCATTCGGGAGCCAAGCCGTGATGCGTTGCTGTACCGAGTCAGCGAGTATTCACTTGGGGTCTGGGTGTCATGCGGAGCCAAAGGAATTCTTGGGGTGATGATTCCAACAGTACCTGGTTAGGTAAGCCCACGACCTTTAGGCACGCCCAGCTTAAATTCGGGGCTCTTGAGGCTCCCTGGAGAAACCACCTAGACCCTGAGCGAGGGTTACACGTGAGTACCTCGTTCCTCTAGGCACTCCATCCGGGCGGGCCTGGGCCTCTTCAGCGTGGCACCCCAAGACCTGTGCTTCTTCTTCAGCCTCCAATTTAATTAATTTTAGAAAAAAACCTGCTCATTCACTCTCCCCCCAGCCTCGGCCTTGAGCCTCAGCCTCATCGTCCCTCCCTCAATAATGTCCATCCACTCCCCCTCCCTTCTTAGCCTCTTTCTTAGCCACAATAATTTATTAGACAAAAAAACCCAAAACATGCTCACCTCCTCCCCCAACCCAACTGCGGGGACCTCGAGGGAGATGAGGACGAGGCTAGGCGTTGTGGCATGGGTATGATATCTTGCTCAATCTTGCTCTTTTTTCCATTCTTCGAGGAGGGAAAGGGCTGGAATGCTTCGGATTGAGCGAGTAAGTTGAGTGTGTTAAGTGATTGATTGATTGGAGATCTTGAGCAGGTTATTCCTCGTAAACAATGCCATCTCCGTCCCGTGTTTTCCCCCCAAAGGGGGGAGAGTATATGAAGATGAGGTGCCCGTCGCAGGTCGCATATCCGATGTTCTTGAATGAATATCCATAATAACATCGACGTCTTGTACTCATACAACAAACCATAGCTTTTCCCTCCTAACTTGTCGTCCCCTAATCCCATCTCAATCTGTAACGCCCAAAACCATGTGTGGCGATTCTCATCTCCCTCCCGCTCCCGAGTCCGGCGACCTCATCGCCATCATCCACCCTAACCCGCAATCATCCTTTCGGGGACGACTGAAACTGTCGAATCGAGCGCCAGGAGCGACCACGACCACTCTCCAATGTGCAGAAAGTAACGCCTCCGACCTTTGCGGACCCGACGCTCTCTTGAATGTGAGGATACAGTAAGTCGAATTGCCGCTTCAGTCCCTGTCCCTGTTATGCTGCGCAGTATCCACTGACACCTCACCTAGCAAATATGGTCAACCTCTCTCAACTTCGTCACATTCCGCTGCCGACTCGGATTCCGAGGACGAATATGACCCGTCCAATCCCGTCTTGTATTCGTTCTTTGTCGACATGGTCAGCGCGTCAAAGACAGGTGATCTAAGACTCAACCTCGGTGTCGGCGGGGACGGTGTCGTGGGCCGCACAGTATCCATCGTCGATGGTCGGAGGAGAAAGCTTCTGGGAGAGGGAGTTATTGGGTGGAGTTGAATTTTGTCAACATTTTGCGTGTCTAGTTTTGGGAATGCGAATTTTGGGAGTGGCAGTAATGAGCCGTCGATTAAAGCAGATACCCCATCCATCCACTGTTATTCATGTACACATCAAACATGTCCAGCTCCTGAGTGCTGAAGTTGAACTGGTCCCAGTTGGTGTTTCCGTAACTGGCAGCGTCGTACGCGGCATTCAAGTTCGCACCGAATTTGTCCACGTTCGACCAACCACCCCCAGGAAGCAGAGCAGGTGTATAAGGCCTGGCTGGTGGCGCGCTCGTGATGTTTTCAGGCCCAGGGTATGGCATCCGTTTTACAGAGGCGATAATGCTCGCAGGATCCTGCCGCAGGATGCTGGACGCTCGTTGCCGTCGTGTCTGGTCATCCTGGCCTTGTTCATCGTCTGAGAGCTGTCCGGATCGATGCATGTGCCAGATCTTGAGCTTCATAAAGACGAACCCAAAAGCCTCCGCGCAGGGGTTCATGCCGCCAGCCGACACCTCGCCCAGTCGGTGGATAATGGCATCCAGATAATAGCCCGTCTTCAAGTCAGGGACAAAGATCGAGCCAAACTTGGATTCTGACGAGCTGAATATCCAGTGCAGCTTGATCAGGACCACCACCGCATATGCATTCCAGACAATGTAGATATTGGACAGGTTTCGAGCACATCTGACCTCGAGCGAGAGGTAGACATCCAGGACTCGCTGGCTACTTTCCAGCAGTGTCGACAGGGCCTCAATGTGAGCAGATGTCACGAAATCCGGAGCTCTGCGCTGCTCCAACTGAGACACTCCAGGACGGAAGTCATCGACATTGTGGTCGTAGTGGACTGCGATCTCGTGAATATACAAGTTGAGGCATGCAGCTTGGTGTTGCGCAAGTCCTTGTCACAAGTCAGCCCCCCTGTCAAACAGCTGTGTGCAATGAGGAGACTTACGCTGATCCACCGAGACGTCGACATTCTGCTCCCATTGTTGCAGCTGCCGTTCAAAGCACTTTAGCTGATACTGCACCCTTGGCTCCATAAAGTTGAGATCGGCACCGGGATCATCCATATGGAAAGCCGCTGAAACTTCCTCCGCAAGACGCGCCAGTTCCACGTTGCTACACAGGAATTTGTCGCTCGGAGCAGCATGAGGGCTGGTTCGGAGTATCTCCAGGCACTCTTCTATACGTGGGCCGAACCTGATGAGGGTCGGGAGACGAAGGAGTGTCGTGACACTAAGTTGGAACAATCAGCACAGTCGCGGTCACACAGTAAGAGCTCAGCAAACCTTATATTGGCCTGGTAGCACGCCAGCCACGTGCGAGCCAGTTCAACCTCTTCTTGTGTACTCCTTTTCAGCTTTGACCTCTTGCCGATTCCTAATTCCAGAGACATGGAAATGGCGGCTTGGATGTTTTGGTTAAAGGCAAGATCCCTCGCCGTGCGCGGCCTAACGTAGTATTGAGAGTTTAGCAGCACGGCCTGGATCATGTCCAAAGATTTGTCACCATGGAAGAGCACTCGTTCTGCAATCTGCCGATTGACCTCAATGGTGAGTGCTGCCTGGGCCGACGGTTGCACGACAGGGCTTGCTATAGCCAAGATGGTTAGAAACGTGATAGGACGGGCCCTCCGAATGTGTTCGGGGTCCGTGTCTGGCGGAAAAACGACGTATGGACAAGCAGAGCACATTTCCTTCATCCAGTGATTGAACATTGCTGTCGCACTCTCCATGCTCAAGTCGCCACGGTCAATGACGTCGACGTACTCGTCTTTAGCGATACCATCGACTTGCACCGGGTTACAACCTCTACTAAACTCTGGTTGAGTGGGCGGCACAAATGTCTTTTCCATGAGATTGTGCGGATAAGAGTCCAAGCTGGTATTAGACGTGTCATCGGTTTTGGCGGGTTCTGAGCTGGCACTGGTAGGGGCATCTTTGGGCGGCGACTCATCCTCAGGCTTGCCGCCATCCGTCGCCTGTTGTTTGGCCAGTAAAGCGTTAGTCAAGGCATTGATTTTCTTCTCCAATTCGGCCACCTTGTGGACCGTCTTTTGTCGTTTCCGCGGGGGACCTGGCATGACACATTCCCGGTTGACTTTGGCGCACGCATTACAGGCATCTTGGCCCTCGACGGGGAGGCACCTGATTTTCATGCTTCTGCAAGCGATACACGCACGTGACCTCTTCTGCCGCTTGGGTTTTTCGGTGCTTGAGCCTTCATCTTCCTCCAGACTTTCTGGGGACTGACTATGGCTGGTTGAGTCTTGAAGTTGGGCATCATGGAGAATGGCGCGTGTTTCAGGGGAGCGGTTTTGATTGAAAGGCAATAGGCTTTCCACAGGAAGTGGTCTGTCAGGCGCCATGGTGTGTATCAATAGTGCCTGGTTGGAAAATCCGTCATATCAGACCCGCCCAAGAGGCAAGGCATATCCCGTGATGACAAACTGGGTCCTGATTAGGCTGGCATGGATTTCGCAAGGGGCAGTCCGCAGTTCGACCAGAAACAACCTCCACTTCGATAGTAGATCTGGATAGATAATGGGGAGAGCAATCTAGGGGTTGATGACGGGAACTGAGTGGCGTGCTGGGTAGTTAGAAATCAAAAACGAGAAAAGGCATCTGGGTCGACCGGAATCACGGTTTTCGGACTCGCTGTTAAGCAGCTGCTTCGGAGCCGGCGGAATGTTGAGTCCGAATACGTGGTTCAACCAATCGCTGGGCATGATGTCAGTGATGAGTCATTGACTGGACACAGCCTCGCGCAGCCTTGTGCAGCCTTGTGCAGCCTTGCCTTTATGAGATCCAATGAAACACAATTCACAGGGTATCTAGGTACATCGTATTGGTACAAATAGCGGGGTAACCCACGGGCTACAGAGATACAGGTACCTGGCCATGGCTGAAGGAAAAGTTGCCTTACCAAGATATGCATAGAGTGACAAGCCTCAAGACTCCTGATGGCAACCGTACACTCATGCAGGCCAGGAACTGCAGGGGCAGGTCAATTTGTGCCTCCGGGCAACAGGACTTCATATGCCTTGGCCATCATCACGACCCCAGAGTTTGACAGTTCTGTCGTGCCCACTGCTAGCAATCCATTTGGCGTCATTGGTGACATCGACACTGAGAACATTGCCCGTATGGCCACTGAGCTGTTTCACAAACGACCAATCATCTGCTGAGAAGATGTTGACATTCTTGTCAAAGCCACTCGTCACAAAGAATGTGCCCGCTTTTCGAGGATTGTGCTCCTGTCTGACGCCGCTGCCCTCTACGAGGGAGGACTTGTCGCCATCCAGGCCTTTGAACCATTTCAGGTCCGAAACATTGCCATTATGAGCACCAATCCCTCCCACGTTGCGCACTTGACGGAGATCCCAGCATTTGACCCATCCGTCACCAGAGCCGGAAAGGACGCGATAGCCGTCAATGCTCCAATCCAGGGAGAAGATCTCACGGATGTGGCCTTCCAAGATCATGACCGTACGCCCTGTCCTGAGATCCCAGATTCTCCCTATGCTGTCAAATCCTCCACTGGCGAGCAATGAGCCGTCAGTGTTGAAACTGACAGCGAATACTTGCCTTGAGTGTCCTTCTTGTAACAGGAGCTCGGTTGTCGTCTCCACGTCCCATAACCGCCAGGTCGTGTCAAATGAGGCCGAGGCAAGATATTTTCCCGAGGGGTGAAACTCGACCCTGCAAACACGGTCGGTGTGGCCCTGCAAAGTGCCAATAGGTGTCTCCTTGTTCAATGACCACAGATGTATATCACTTTCTCCGCCTTGTCCGCCGGCACCGCTTGCAAGATTCAGAGAATCTGGAGACACATTGGATTCTTGTAGTGTTGCACCAGGATACCAGGCAATCCCGCCGACAATGCCTGTGTGGCCCCTAAGCGTCACCTTTTCGTCTAGGTTCGGGACATCGAGTAATTTAATGCCACCGCCCCAATTGCCGGCGGCGATTAGCTCGCCGTTGGGGGCAAATCGAGTGATGCTGACGGGTCGCTCTCCAGCAATCTGTGTTCCAAACAACTCAAACCCTTGTAATTTCTCTTTGATCTCCTTGCGATGTTTGATATGTGTGCGTAATGGGATGGTAGCGTCTTCTCTCTGCCTCTGTATCCGCGCTTTTGCCCTCGGTAGGGAGAACCTAGCGATGTCTCTTCTCGCTTCGAGCAGTTCCGGTAGACCCTCGGTGTAGAACTCTTCTTCTTGATCGGCCTCCTCTTCTGCTTCTCCCATCTGTACGTCGGCAACAGCCCCGTTTGACCCAGCTGCATCCTCTTGGTCCAACAAGAGTTCCCGTAGACGACTTCGCCGATCCGCAGCGTCCTCTCCAAAAAGTGTGACAGGCTCTCCGAGTTCGCGTAGTCGTGCCCTGACTTTTCCATCGTCCGTGGGAACCGCTAGCATAGCCAGTCTTCGTTTTCGGTCGAATTGGGAGAGGATAGCAGATGCTTTTTCGGGAGCGACACCGCCGGCTCCAGTAGGAAGGTCATAATTCCGATCGACAGCTGACAGGAAAGTGAGCCCAGAACTATGAAGACGAAACAATGGCAATACTTACGAAGGTTGGCCAAATCCACGCCCATCTCGGTATCCTGCACTCAGCCATTTCCGTCAGTCTTGTGTGCCTCCACCTGTTGCTCCGTCACCAGGGAAGATGCGGCCTTGGAGGCAAAATGTAAATAGAGAGACATAGAATAATTTGCTTGCGGCGAAGAGTCTTACCTGGCGTTCCTCCTCCACATACGCCTGACGCGCTGGGTGCATCATCTTGATGGCTGGACGTCGAGCGACGGGCCTCGGAGGATCTGGAAATGGGATGAATACGCTGGTAGCAGTCGATGAACTCCAATACAACGAGTTTTCGTGAGACCCAGTTGTGGCTATAGGGAAACAAAAGTCCAGTCGCAGGGCAGGGTACACCCCTCAAGTCTCCACAGGCTCTCGGGGACGAGAAATGACGCCGCTTAGTCGTGGTTCGATTACATAATATTTACGGGACTACGGCGAAGCACTAAGGCCATGAAACCTCTTGGATATTCACGTGGAATTTACTCGGTTGTCTTATCTTGACTTCATTGTGCTCCTCATTGCATGGCCATGCCGCGTACTTATCTGGCCTCGGACATGTAAAATATTTACCTACCATGCCTTACAATACACCCGTACGCGACCTAAGTAAGTGCGTTTACCTTTACTTCAGCCTTGTTTTGAGTTAGTGGCACAGGCACCTTTGGCGCGCTGCCATCGTACAAGGCTGCGACCCAATCTGACTCCCTAGCATTCACTCCAATTGCGCCACAGGTCACCCGTCTTCACCTGTCTCGTGCGCTTTCTAGTGTTACTTACTAAGATCCCTTTATTCTCGCCCTCCTCCGTTTGACTTCACTCGTTGTGCCGCCTGCAAAACAATTTTTTAGAGCGACTCAGAGCCTTGGAACAGTCTTCTGGTACTTCGGTGAACTACTTACGCGCACTGAATGGCCGACTTAACGCTCGCAAAGTCTGTCAGTTTCGCTTGCTGCCGGTCCGTTCAACCCTACTGCCACTGTATGTCAAGCAGGAGCGTCGCAACAAGGCATATAAAAGCTATTTAGAAGATGCTCGAGAGCAAACGCGTCGAAAAGAGGACAAGGTGTCTCAGGTTGTCAAGAATGGCAAGGACTCAGATCTGGCTCAATCCAGGCCGCAGCTCGAGACCCTGAATAAAGCGCTGCCTAAATGAAGGGCGGATCTAGGAAATGCAAGCACCGAGGAGGACGTCGGTAGGGTAATCAAGGCCAAGCAGTTAAGTCAGCAGGTGGCCACGCCTGTATCCAATATGTGCCTGGGTCTCCAAGAGAGAACAGTACTGTGCATGCCTTTTTCCAAAGACAAAAAAATGAGCTTGCAAAATGTCCGGGCCTGTATGGCTCGCCCGTATAAGCTCTGTGCGGTCCGAACTCGTCTTTCATCCACAGTATGTGTTTCCTGGCTTGCGAGTTACCACGACCACTATAATGTCATGTCCCAGAAGGCTCTTCGTCCACACCGTACCCGTCCCCGTCCTCATCACTTGTCTCATGATAGACAGGATCAGGGCGCCAGTGGTCCTTGAGGACGTCCATAATTTCTTTCAGAATAGGGTCATTCTCAGGACCAGACTCGAAATGCTCGTCAAATTTTCCACGCCTCAAACGCCGTCCCCAGAATGCTGCCTCGTACTTACCCACGCCTTTAAATCGGCCTTTTGAAAAGATGAGAGGAGTGTGATTGTAAGGGCCGACACTGACGATGCCGCTACTGACAATTGACGCAATGTTCCAAGGCGTTAATACATCTAAATGGCAATTAAGGATGTCCGCGAAGTGCCCTGACAGAATGAAATGTCTAGCATCGTTAATCCGTGATTCTCCTACTAATAGTTGCGATAGAGCCGTACTGATTCTCGGCTCGACATCGAAGAAGAAATCAGATCCCGATGGAGAATACTGGGAGAAACTCAGCTCTTCAGGTTCGTGTAGCAACATAGAAGTGGCCAAAACATGATCCCACTTCGAGTTCTTCCGAAATGCTGCTCCTTGGTCCGGTACAGGGAAAGCGTCAATGACATAGTGATAATTTTGATAAATTGTGTCAATAATGGACCAACCGTCAATGCGCGGTCTGATGCCATTTTCAGGCCGAAGACTTGAGCACAATTCCCTCAAATCTTGCCTAACCTTCGTCGTGTATCGAGCACCCCATCGAGAGAGTAACGCAGCTGATGCGAGGTGGACGTGTTCATAGAACGGGCACGTCGACAAGAAACTTCCATCCAATTCTCCAGGCACGTAAAAGATTGTGAGATCTTGACTCAATGATAGCTTTGTTTGGAAAAGGCCCAGGAAGTGGCTAACATCACCCAAGTTAATAAAGCAGCCGTCAGTGCGGATCAGGCACAGGATGCAGAATTCAATGGCGAGGATCCTGTATTTCTGGTCGAAATTTACCAGCTTTTCCTCGAGATAGGGCAATACGCAGTATTTTGCAGCTTCGTAAAGTAGGCGATTGTCGACAGAGGAGAGATGAGGACACCAAATTTCTTGACGGTAATTATGGTTGTAGTCATGGAAGAGAGGTCTCCACTCATCATCTAAACCGGCAGTTTGCATGGGAAGTGGTATAGGAAATCGCGCTTGCTCAGCCGAGAAGACAGCATCAAGGACAGTTGTTTCAAGCGGAGTCCAGTGACTCTTGGGTACCCCTTGGCTGTAGAGCATACATATCCATGTAGGTGCAAGTTTCCTGTTGCTGTTGATGATGAAATATATTCCAGAGGCTAGCACCATTCGCTTGAATGTTTCTTGCTCAGATATGCCACAAGCATCAACAAGCGCGGTACCGCACCGGTCTTTGTCGAGTAGAAAATCGTACACACTTCGGTGTATAAATCGCACTTTCGTCTTTTGCAACGTGGCTAGTGATTCAGAATGGCACGCTTCGGAGTTGTCGTAGAAGACATGATCCACACATTCAACAAGACCTGCACACCGGGTAATCACATTTTGAGCCCTGTCAATGGCTGGGAGATTAGAGAGTTCTTGACAATATGGGAATGTGTTACCAAGTATATGAACCAGGCCTTGAGCTCAGCATTCGTGCAACTTTCAGAATGCGGTCGTACTTGGCCAAAGAATGACTTGAGAGTTTCAGGAGCCGAGCCGTTGTTGTTGTTACGGATCGTTTCAACCAGCGTTTCGTCTGCTTCCAGGATCTGAAAACACAGCGATCTCCAAAACCCTTCCAGGGATTTCTGAAATACGCAGCTGGCGGGCCTGAAGAACCAGAAACTGAGTAGGCGGACAGATTGCGGCTGGGCCCAGACATTCAGATGATCAAAGCCAACTTGGCCTGTGTGAAGATTCTGGTAAATATAGGCCATGAGGCTCGATTTCCCACTTCCAGGCTTTCCACTAAACCAAAAGATTCCCCTGCCTTCTCGAAGCCATGCAACAAACTCATGTTGCTGATGAGAATCGGTGCGGGGTGGTGGATAGAATATCCAGTGGTAGGTATTACGGAACTCGCCCACATGGTTATCAATCATTTTGCGCCGATCATACATTTCGGGAAAAGCCAACCTATCTAGAACTCGCTTTCTGAGAGCATTCGAATCGTGATCTTGAGTATATTTCGTATGAGCATATTGCTGGCTGTTCAGCTGTGCCGTTATATTTGCCTGTGCAGTTGTGATTGAGGACATTATGTTTGTCTCTGCAGCTGTGACTGAAGCTTTAACATCAGTTGAGGCCTGTTGGATGTGACCTAATAGCCTTGTGATGGTGTCCTTTTGGCCTTGCGACAAGGCTGCGAACTCCTTTTGTAGAAACATGACGTCCTGGTCGGCCTTGATACTAGTCAAGAGATTAGTAGGCAGAGTCTAAGGGACAGAAGATTAGGAATTCGGTAGAGACTGTTCCAGCGACGACCCAGAACCCTCTAGCCAAAGCAAAACATGACAGCAAGTGTCACATTTAGAAAGCCTATAGGTTAAAAGTGTCGACTTACTGAAGATCTTGCACCAGGCAAGATTGCAGAGCCGCATCCTGCCGCTTCAGCTCTGCTCGAAGCTTATCAATAGTACCCCTTTTTTTCAAGCTTTTGAGCATCATACTGAGCGCGCTGCCTTTGGCCCTGATGCCCTGATTTTTCTTGAGTTTTAGTTGACTGAGCTCCTTCTTGAGCTTCACCGCTGTCTTTGAGACATCGTTCGCAAGTTGCTGTAGCTTTTTGGCAGGAGGAGGTAGAGTCGTAGGGTTGTTGTTGTTGTTGTTGAGAACAAGGACCAAATCCTTGTTCAAGGCCGTGATGTCCTCGGCGTATTTCTCAATCTTATCGTTCTCATCTAGAGAACCGCGGTCGTAGATTTCCTTGCAGATTTTAGCGGCACCGATGGCCTGTTCGATGAGTTGGAAGACATTGCAGATAACGGAGAGGATAGCAGAGGGCTCCATTGACGGCTAGCGGGGGGACCGTGGAAGGACGTGTGAGAATGTTAGCCACGCTCACGAGGTGTTCAGGTTTGTATCTGCTGGGCTTTTGCCAGCAACGGCAGATGGAAAGCAGAATCATCTGGAATGCGATCAGGCTGTCTTTATTTCGGTGACTCAAACTGCGATTTGCAAGCGCGAGCGCTGATTAGACGCTTTAGCGATGGACAATCAAACTGGTTGTTACACAGGATTTTACAAAATATCCAATGGCAGCGGGAGGCCAGCGACATGAGCAGACGTGGCAGAGCAAGGCAGGATGACAGGCAAGACAGACACGGGGCAGGGTACGCTGAGGCTGACCAGAAGTTGAGCCAGTCCACACGATGCCTCAGTTAGGAAGGCGTGGGTGGCTGGACTGGGACCCCAAAATGTCTGCGTGCAGCTGCTCGAAAACTGCGCTTCTCCCATCCTGATCAGCTGAAGTTGCCGTCTGTCCACAGTCAGGCGGGACATATCGTGTTCAGGCTGGACCACGGCAAGTTGTTGGTCAGTGATGCATTCCTGTCTCAGCTCGCCGCCAGAATTGAGCCCCGCTCATGCTTCTCACCTGGCATTTACCATGTGGTGATCTGAGAGATTTGGCACCAAAGATCACATATAAATGTCTCGCTTTGACTGAATTTGTGATACTCCTGGAGCTGAGTTGTGCTCTAGCTATTTGCTTGCTGTTCCATCACAATGGCTCTGGACAAGACTCCTCCGTTGCCTTTCCCTACATCGGGACCTTTGGGTCCATATGTCAATTATCTGAAAGGTTACCTCACAAAGCTGGGCCGCTACGATCAAGGTGATCAGTCTCTGGCCAAAGCCATCCAACAAGGTCTCGATGAAGGAATTGAACAATTGACAGCATGGAACATCACAAGTGCCGATAACTTCATGTATTATGCCAACTACCTACTTACCAGCTGGATTCCGACCGAGATACATGACAGTCGTTTCATCTATCAAGTTCTCACCGTCTTCTACTACATATTTGATCGACCGGCCCTCTGCGATCTTCAAACGCAGATCTGTCCAGAGTCGATTGAGGGTGACATGCCTAAAATGAGACCACTCTCTGACTGGGTAGTTGGCTATGCTAGACGGATGGGGTCATGGCTGAGCACTTCTGCTTCCATCACAAAAGACTCGTACAAGACTTTCCTCGACGCCAGCAAATACAGGATGAGCGACCCGTGCGACTACCATATTCCAGACCCTGGTTCAGACACTGGGGGCTTTAAAAGTTTCAACCAGTTTTTCTGTCGTTTTCTCAAAGAACCCCATTCCAGTGTCCGGCCTATTGACAAAGACATCAATACTGTGGTCTTCCCTGCAGATTCAACCTTCGACAATGCATGGCCGATTGACAATGATCTCAATGTGGACATTCTAGACCCGGATGCACCTCCATCATATATGGATACAGGGAATGTGGTTGACATCAAGCTTGTCAAATGGCCACTTTCAGCCTTGCTTGCAGGCTCTGCGTACACGGCAACATTCAAGGGTGGCACGTGGGCTCACGTCTTCCTCAACACCTTCGACTACCACCGACAGCATGCTCCAGTGTCGGGGACAGTGAAGGAAGCATTCCTCGTCGAGGGCTGCGCATACCTGCAAGTCGAAGCGGAGGTTGGGGACGATGGCAAAAAAAGGCTACAGCCAAGACGAGGCTATTCGTCAGGTGTTCAAGCCGGGAAAGCCGTCACTGCCCAGCCGTCTGCCCCCGATGGTGCCGGGTATCAGTTCATCCAACAACGGGGCTGCATCGTGATTGATACAACTGGCTTTGCCAATATTGGGATGGTGGCGGTCCTCCCCATGGGGATGGCTCAAGTCTCGTCCGTGAACCTGTCAAGGGGCTCGAAGGTTGGAAATGTTGTCAAGAAAGGCGAGGAGATTTCGTGGTTTGAGTTTGGTGGCTCTGATCTGGTTCTGGTGTTTGAGGCTCAGGCATGTGCTCACGATTTCCCGCCTGTAAATACAAGGCAGCACCCCAGTCCTCACCATCTCATCGGTGAAAAGCTCTGCAGGGTTAGAGCAACTACCAAATAATGCAGCTTTGACACCTGTGAGGACCTATGACATTGGAAGAGAGGTCTACTCATGGACAAATGACGGGGGTATCTATGCGCAGCGAACAAGTCTTTCATTACATATCAGTTGCTTCAGAAACTCTAGTACCCAGGTATGTTGCTGTGCCCATTCACACGAGCATCGACCAACCCCCCCTATTACAGCCCCACATTTAGAGCCTCGTCAAATCTCATACGATCTACTCGGTACAGTATTATCTTCCCCATGATCGGAACTAAGATGCCAAGATGGCTTAAGGCTGGGGATGGGTCGATGGTAATAGGAATAATTACCAAGGCCACTTAATCCCTTTTCGTTCGGGAGCCTCGCCATCGCCACTCGTCAGCTCTCGTGACTGGAGTTCGGCGATTTCCCTATTCGCTTTTACCCCGCGGCGGCTGCTGATACAAACCTTCATCCGAGGTTCAAACTATTAATTCTGGTCAACAGCCGGCCGATTCGAGCATAGCTGCACAGGAACTCCAATTAACACCAGAAAATAAGAATCAAGTTTTCTTGTCAGGAAGTTATTTACTGTTGGTCATTATCTATTTGAGTCTTGAATTTGGCAGCTTGGCCCAACATCGCTCCCTGCATCTTTCTCACTATGGCCTCCCAACGCCTTTCCGCCGTCCTCTCACACCTACCTTCTACCTCGAGTGCGGTAGACAATATGTATGAGTGGCATTGATGTTTCCGTGTGTATATGTCAGGCCAGGGCTGACGATGTGACGAACCAGCGCAAAGCAAAACCCCGACGATGTAGTCATCACCCTCGCCATCAGGACGCCCATGTGCAAGGCCAAGAAAGGCGGACTCAAGGACACGACGCTCGATGGCCTGGTCTTCAAGATTCTCGAGCAGGTCCGACTCCGGAGCAAGCTTGACCCGCGCCTTGTCGACGATGTCTGTCTCGGCAATGTAAGCTGTCTTGTCCCCGCGTCGGAGAAATATCCCGCTGATTGCGTTATCCCATCTATACAGGTCCGCGATGGCAAAGCTGGGTACTACGTCCGAGCCGCGGCTCTCGCAGCAGGCTTCCCAAACACAGCCGGTGCGTCGAGCGTTTCGCGGTTCTGCTCCTCAGGCCTGACGGCGACGCAATTCATCGCCAATGAGATCATCACCGGCATGATTGAAGTCGGCGTGGTAGTCGGCGCCGAGTCTCTGAGTGAAGGGAACGAACGTCTGAGTCGACCCTTTGCCGACGATGTCATGAACGCCAGCGAAGAGGCGAGGGACTGTATGCTCCCAATGGGTAAGCCCACACTGCGCACTCTGGACAGATATGGGAAATTGAACCATCTACTTACTCCTATCTCCCTCTGACAATACAGGCGCCACGTCGGAGAATGTGGCGAGAGAGTTCAACATCACTCGGCAGCGGCAGGACGAGTTTGCCGTCGAGTCGTACCGACGCGCCGAGCTGGCGCAGAAGAATGGCTGGTTCGATGACGAGATTGCCCCTATCACGGTCAAGAAGGACGGCAAAGACACGACCCTTGCCCGCGACGAAATCCGATGGGGGACCACGTACGACGGGATCAAGAACCTTCGTCCGGCCTTTGCAGAGTACGGAGACACGACGCACGCCGGCAATTCCAGCCAGATCACCGACGGTAAGTCGCTCATTCGAGGACTACGCAGATTAAATGCTTTAAGACTCATCCTCCCGTCTTCTTTACAGGAGCCGGTGCTTTAATTCTCATGAAACGCTCAAAGGCCTTGGAGCTGAACCAGCCCATCCTCGGAAAATACGTTGGCACAGCCCTTGCCGGTCTGCCTCCGCGCATCATGGGCATCGGCCCGGTCTTGGCCATTCCCAAACTACTTTCTCGATATAACCTGTCACTGGACAAGGACATTGACGTGGTGGAGATCAACGAAGCATTTGCTTCCATGGCCGTCTATTGTCGGGATTATCTTAATCTGGACTGGACGAAATTGAACCCTAGAGGTGGTGCCATTGCGTGAGTTTCCCCTTTTCCCCCTCCTAGATTTCTTCTTTCTTTCGTCGTAAAAGCTCTGTTCAATATCAGGCCAATTCACACTAACGGATTCTTGCAGACTCGGCCGTAAGTACCTATTACCATGAACATGAACATGAACCCAGAATCAACACGACTTCTTCGTGAAGTCCATCCCCTTCCCCTCCTGTGGAGTCATCTTTTTCGATCAAGACTGACAAACCTCGCTTAAACCACAGATCCATTTGGATGCACCGGAGTCCGACAGATAGTCACGGGTCTCAGCGAATGCCGGCGGAGAAAGAAAAAGGTTCTGCTCACCAGCATGTGTCTAGGTACCGGAATGGGCATGGCGGGATTGTTTATCAACGAGCAGCTTTAGGTCCTTGGTGGAGGGGACGGATGGTCTGCCTGGCCGTGACGGGTCTATTGCAGGCGTGGGACGGCTCGAGAATGAACTACTGTCTTTTCTCATCCTGCCATCTCCAATTTATGCTCCTATGCAGATCAAAATATAGACGAAAAGAGTTCCCAGCTTTGCCCTTCCCGTCGTGCATCGTCACCGCCGCCTTAAAACAGGATCTTGACACGTTTATTCGAAAGTTCAGTTTTGTCCTTGCTGAAACGTGGAAGAGCGTGAGCGTTACAATTCTCCTATCCTCTTTTCTTATAGCCTTGTAACGAAGATGTTCTCTAAAAAAAAAAAAGAGTCTACTTATCAACATTCGTCGCCACCGTGGTTATTGTGGTCGTAATCCTCGTCACCGTCTTGTTGGTCGTAGTTATCCTCATGTCCCCCGCCGTGAGGGTCGTAGTGATCCTCATAGCCGTCGCCGTGACGATCGTAGTCATCCCCCTCGGGGTTGTCGTGATCATATTGATATTGGTTGTGCCCTTCTCCTTCATCCTGCCAGCCTTGGTCATCGTCACCTTGTCCATCTCCCTCCTCCTCCTCCTCATCATCATCACCATCACCATCGTGGTCCGGATGACGCGCCCCATGTAGCAAGTGATGGTGCTTGGGTGCATTTTCAATCATTGAGTCGAGTTCGTGGTCGTCCACCACCCCCCGCAACATCTCCAGATAATGGGCATCCGGATTCGATTCAAAGTAGATGATGTCGTTGATCTGCTCGAGCGGGTGTCGCACAGGCAGGCCGTGGTCTCCGACAGAATCTCCGGTCTGGGCGGCTGTCAGGTCCTTGTGTAACACGGCGTACATGTGGCGGGTCGGGTCGGCCGTCACGAGTTGCTCGCAGAGATCGGCCAGATGTCTAGTCAGCTCGGGGATCTCGTGGTGAGAAGATTCTTCATCTGCTATATGTGAGAGACAGGAGATAAGAAGTGAGGTATTAGCAAACCACTCCCCGTGGGCAACGAGGGGGGGGGCCTTGACTAACCATCTCCCTGGTGTAGGTCCACGAAACGGTGCATGCCGTCCCAAAGCTCTGCCTGAATCGCCGAAGTATCGGGTCCGCCATGTTCATGATCTTGATGGTCCTCCATCTGCGCGGTGTCTGGAGACGTCGTTTCCTCAATGATTGTTCTGAGGCGGGGATGGATGCTGTATGAATGCGCACTCTGCCCCGAGACTATCGCATGTCTTTTTATCTTCAGGCGAATCGCAGAGATCCGGGGCTAGAGAGTCTCGATGATTACCATAATGTCACATCGAGTCCCGAGAGGAAAGCCTTGCCAGGATATAGAACCACTACAAGGGTCTATCGGTTGAAGAATGAACTGGGCGTTCCAGTTCCTATTCATAGGACCAAGCCTTGCACATGTCTGTCCTGTCCCGTGTTGCCACCATTGTGCTCACTTGTTTGCTGTCATCCAAGTGCTGACGGGCCTTGCCACAATCCAATCCCCATTTGTTGGACGTCTTCAGCCGTGCAAAATGGCCTGACGAGGCCGGCAAGGTGCCAGTGACTTGCCACCGAACCATGTTTTCCTTGCAAAATGCCTTGGGGCGGAAATGAAACTGATGGTATAATCTCGTATCGCCTTTGCCCCAAGGAACAAAAACGGGGAAAGCCCTTTGCCAGAATGTATGCTGTTTGCGGTACCTTCGGGGTTCAGCATATAAGCCCCGCTCGACGGCGAAGTAGCGTCCCTTTTTTCGGGTCCCGAATAGACTGATCCCCTGGTGGCAGTATTCTTGGAACGATTCGAGAGGATCATTCTCTCGCCAATTGCCACGATAGACCGTCTTGTCGTGATGGATCCTGGGTCATGCCGAGAGAGAAAGAGCGGAGGGAGACTGATATGAGCCCCTTCATAAAGAACCCAAGGTTTGCCTACATCGGGTTCTCTTTTCCCTGGCGACTTTGTCTATCAACTCTCAACCCTGTTCCGTCTAGTATTCCATCCATCCCCTTCCAAGACCAACTGGGACTGCCTCGAAAACAATCATGAACAACCCGCCGCCGCCGCCACATCAGCCACCGCAGCAGCCGCCGCAGATGAACATACCACCTCAGCCGAACCTAGGCTCCCTCGGAGGATTTTGCGTTCCAGCCGTCCTTTCAGTCATACTCAATACCAACCTGACCTTCGCCCTACAACATGCTCTCCAGCACGGGTACCCACTCAGTCAACTTCGACTCGTTACATATCAGTTAGTCTCTCAATTGGGCCTCATCTACAATCCTTCGTTCCAGCTTCACTCTCTTGTGCCACAACAGATGTGGCAGCCGAACGCTCAAATGACACATCAGGACTTTGAGAATGCAGGTCAAACCACGGCCCAATTGGCTGGGTTAATCAACCAGTTCAACATCCCAGGAACGACCGGCGTGGGGGCGATCATCTTGCTCCCACCAGCCCAGGGTCCCAATGGTCGAGCTTCAATGCACGCCGTCGTGGTTGCGCCAGGACAAACGCTTCGCTTCTTCGACTACGCAAACCCGGCGCAACCGAGAGAACTCACTGTAGCTTGGAACGCTCCGAACTCGACGGTGAGATTCCTCGCAATGTTTTGGTACGCCGACATCAATCAGAGGCAGCACATGACTCCTCCTCCTTCAAAGACCGGTCCATCCGCACCGGGGGGCTCGTCCTCACACCCGGCCGGAGGTTCGTCCACGCATCCCATGATGGCGCCCACCTCAGGGGCACGCTGAGGTCGATCGATGCGGTGGTGCCGAGTTCTCTCCGCTGGCCTGGCTATAGTGTCACACATGTGTTATAGTCAGAACAGGGGGTGCTTGAGGACAACGACACGTACGGGATACGTAAAGCTTGTCACCTATAGCTATTTTGAAGCATTACTATCCCCGGGTTGAGGAGTCGCCGCCATTCAATTTCTGGTATTTTGGGCAAGTGGTGCACTTTACTAGGGGGTTTCACTCAAGTTGCAAACATGAACAAATACAGAAGAGGTTTCCTGCCAAATCTGATATTCTCTGCCCAAACAAAATCAAATATCAATTTCACCATAGCAATGCCTACGGGCATTATACGAGAAAACTCGCCCGATTTTACGAGGAAAATACGAGGGCCAAGATGGATTTTCAAAGCTTACCCCGATTGGGCATCTGGATTACTGCTTGTAGATAATTGGCTGAACAGTTTTCCCCTCGGCATTGCCTGATTGGGATATCGTCGCACCCAATGTCGTAGGTAAGAATCGAATGCACGAATCAATATCCTCTCCCTACGGCATCTGCAACTCGAATTCCGAGACGGAGGCAGAGTCAAAGTGAGATGAGATACCTACCATCAACGCTGACATTATGTGTAAAATAGCGAGCCCAGGCGTTCTGCTCACCTCAGGAAAAATTTGGAGGTGGAATTTTCTCTTCAAGAGGAGCGTGTTCCGTGGGTTGAAAGGTAGTAACAAATGGGGTACTTTTTTCTGGGCCCTTTCAAGATCCAGACTGTCACGTTTGCAAAAGATACCATCTGGAGGTGAGCGCCTTCCTGGTGCGGTGAGGTTGCTTCATCCAGATAGATTCCCAGCGACGAACATCGTTGTGGCGAGACCATCCGGCGCAATCCCCATCACAGGGAGACATTTACCTCTGTACCTCTGTACAACCGAAGATACAGTCATACTTGTGGCAGGCACGTCCATTTTCAGTCGTGGATTACTTACCCGTTCAGTCCAAGTGCGGAGAAATCTGGCCTTTCCTGCACTCGTACTCAAACGCGGTCTAGCTACGTCATCTAATCAACATCTGCTCCACTCAGATGAGATTTAACAAGGCTTGTTGAATCTTAAACGAGCTTTCTGGGACCACAATTGAAATGTTCCAGGTTGCAGACGGGGATCTGTGCGGCATCGAATCATCGAGAATGTTTGGTTTCGGGAGAAGGTCATGAGTCGGCGCCGAATCTGGCCTTGTGTCTTCAGCATTTACACGGGGTGTATTCGTGATTCGTCAATACGGTAAAATGTTCAACGCATGGAAATGACGTTATGTATGTAGTGTCGAACTGCAGCGTATCAACCAGGACCTTCGCATTGTGGAGGCGTACCCAATGAGGGACCACATCTTCGAGACACACATCATTTGCAATGACAACAAGGAGTGACAAACGAAACTAGCTCGTTGCAATATAGGGTCTTTAGAAGAGAAAAATCGTTCCTCGTACTCGCATTTTGTGCAAGTCCTCGCTAAGGGAGGTGATCTGCTGGTCTTTTCACAAGGCTTCAGCCATTTCCCCTGTAACATCATTGGCTGGATCTTCAACTCGGTGGGACGGAGGGTCATTTGTTCCGAGTGGAGACTTAGTATCCGAACTCGAGTTATTGTATGGACTGTGACTGGCCAGCTGCAACACTAGTCGGGAACAAACAATTACACTAATCCCCTTTCCGGAGATACGTGCCATGCGACCCTTAACACCAGAGAATGTGCATAAAGTTCGCCAAAGTACAGAATAAATCGATATTTCCATCGTATATCAAAAATGCCAAATCCCTTTCTTTTGCGGAGTGTTTGAATCGCTAGGAGTCCTCAAGCGGCAGCAACAGAGTCTCAAAGATGGCGGCGTCGGCGACTGACGAAGGCGCAGAGCAAACCGAGTACAAGGCGAACGATGTGAGAAGCACATCTTCGCAGCTGGAAAGGCAGAAAACAAACGACGCAGACGAAAGCCCCCTCGAACAAACCACGAGCCGCATCGAAAAATATCCCACTGGCATCAAGCTGGGTCTGATCCTGCTGAGCATTTACTTGTCCGTCTTCCTGGTCGCACTCGACAGGACAATCATTGCTACTGCGCTTCCCAAAATCACCGACAAATTTCAAAGTTTTGCCGATGTTGGTTGGGTAGGTCGATGTCCTTCCTTCGCAGCGGCTAGCAGGCAGGAGAAAAAAAGTTGCTAATGCTCCAGACAGTACAACGCCGGGTTTCTGTTTCCCACGACTGCCCTCCAACTCCTCTTTGGCCGATTATACACCTTCTACTCGCCCAAGTGGATCTTCCTCACTGAGGTGTTTGTGTTTGAAATCGGTTCTGCGATATGTGGCGCCGCCCCGAACTCGGTCGCCTTCATTTGGGGACGGGCGGTCGCCGGTTTGGGCGCCGCAGGACTGTTCAATGGTGCCATGATCTTGATGATGTACGCGTCGCCTCTTGAGAAGAGACCTCTCTACATGGGTCTCCTCGGTGCAGTCTTCGGGGTGGCCTCCGTTGCCGGTCCACTACTTGGAGGCGTCTTCACGACCAAGGTCAGTTGGAGGTGAGTTCTCGCTCCCACAAAAATTCGCAAGAACAGCAAAGCTGAGTGAGATCAAGATGGTGTTTCTACATCAACCTCCCAATCGGTGCGGTGGTACTCGCGTTCCTCTTCCTGGTCATCGACGACATGGAGCCAGCTCTGGGTAATTTACCACTGAAAGAAAAAATCTCCCGGGTCGACATCCCCGGCACCGTTGTTTTTATCCCCTGCATCGTGTGCCTGCTTCTGGCGCTTCAATGGGGCGGTCAAAAATATGACTGGTCCGATGGCCGAATCATCGCACTTTTTGTCGTCTTCGGTGTCCTTCTCATCGCTTTCGTCGCCATTCAACTATGGCGGAAGGAGGCCGGTACAGTACCACCTCGAATCGCCACGCAACGGACCATTGCCACGGGAGGGTTTTACGCCTTCTGTCTCGGGTCGTCATTCATGATTGCAGTTTACTACTTGTCGATATGGTTCCAGGCCATCAAAGGCGCATCGGCAATCCGATCTGGATACTCGACGCTACCCTTCATTCTCGCGCTCGTCGTTTCGTCCATCATATCAGGAGCCTTCGTCACGAGGGTAGGGTATTACAACCCGTCAATACTGGCGGGCGGCATCCTGACGCCTATCGGAGCCGGGCTCTTTACGCTCTTCACCACTCATACGGCACACCCTATGTGGATCGGTGCCCAGGTCCTCTACGGTTTCGGTGTTGGACTTGGCTTACAACAAACCAACATCGCCGCGCAGGCCGTCCTGGACAAGAAGGACGCCCCGACAGGAGTCTCCCTGGTATTCTTCTGCCAGGGTCTCGGCGGCACCATTTCCGTCTCACTCGCCCAAAATGTCCTGGACAACAAGCTCATATCTGGTCTGAAAAACATCGCCGACATCAGTCCACATGACATTGTCAACACCGGAGCCACTGAGCTGCGTCGTGCTTTCAGCCCCCAACAACTGCCGGAGGTTCTTCGGGTCTACAACCACGCCTTGGTAGTTGTCTTCTACGTCGCCCTCGGTTTTGCCTGTGCGGCCATCATTGGAGGCGTCGGCATGGAGTGGAAGACGGTGAAAAAAGAGAAACCTAAGAAGGACGAGGAAAAGACACCGGAGATCAAAGAAGAAACCAAGACGGAATAATCCCCCCCCAGGATTCACAAGTCCTTCACGAATTGTGATTTAGCGCTGCATTGTACAACAACTACTTCCTCTTCTCGAGCGAAATCCCTTCTCACTAGAATTTTCTGCAGACTTTTTCGCAACTGCGCGTGGAATGAGAGTTTAATGAAGCGACCATACCACTGTTATCTCTCTTCAGAACATACAGGTAGACCAATTGATTGCTGTCTACGAGGTGTCTAAATATCCTCTTTTTCACCTGAATCTGGCAAAGGAACATTCACTTCTCAACACCACATCTTCCTCATCTCCCAGAGGAGATTTGGAGGAGAGGCGAGGGTCTAGTGCCATTATCTGTGTACTGAAGTACCGTGCCGCCAGGACTATGATAGCAGCGTCCGAGGACCGAGACGAGGGTCGAGTCTGCTGCTGCGAGGGTAAATGTGAAGGTAACAGAATCTCCAGGAACGCGACCGCATGTCTCCGCTACGGTTGTGTGGAATCCCCAAGCAGTGATTAGTGCGCATTGACTGCGCAATGAGGGCGAGGCACCGCTGCGAACCTGCAAACAGGACATCATCTTTCATCGGGCATGTATGTTCCTCCCATAAAATATTGCTATTAATGTCTTCCTATCAGAGACCCTTTCAACAGTGTCAGGCACATAAAGACGGTAAGCAAGGCGTGTTATCCGATACTGGCTGTGCTGCCCAGGAATAAACCTGGACTAGAGATGAATATTTGTAACATAATTGTAGAATCTTATTGCCTTGCACCTTGTTCGAAGTAGGACTGTACACAAGGGCGATAGGGTCACCTGAGTGAGAACCTGCGTTCTGCCAAGGCCGAGTGCCAAGACTGACGAGGCTACCCGCACCTCATTGGAGGGCACGAGTTATGCGGTCCGCAGTTGGAGCCGCGACCTGCACCTCCATCATCAAACCCCATAACATCATCCTTGATCTCGACTTTGTTCTCCTGTCGACTTTCAACTATTGTCTTAACAAATTCTTTTGTTTCTTTATCGCAACATTCCTTTTTGACTCGATGCCTCCCTCCTCGATAGAATCACGGCAACCTCGACCGGTCCTTATCCCCAACCTCATTTTCTCGTAGAACCGTGAATCTCCCACTTGTCGATAGCTGCGCCCGTTGATTCCCACCCCTGCGTGTCTTCGACATGGCCGGGACGACTTCTTCGGCTGCGGAGATGATCTCCCAGCTTGAAGCGGCGCGTAAACTCGCTCTGGGAGATCCTCAAGTATACAATCAAGTCCTCCCAGGGATATTACCCATCATCGGTCCCTCGGCGCACGTCGAAGTGCG